CGGACTTGATGATCTGCTCAGGTCCTTTCCGACCCTACTAATTATGAAACTATGAAACTATAAAATGGTCTATGTGCACTGAACTTCTGTTACAGGTTTAGACTGGTTTCTGATCATTTACACCAGTTTATATATTATTTCTGTTCTCAGCTTAATAGTGCATTGTGAATAATAGGACATTGAGGCAGCGCCTACATGGTGAACTTACTATGCCCAACAGCAGCAACCTCAAACAAGTTAGCCTGCTTTGGGAGGGCAGCTTTTTAACCTGAAAGGAGTACAACTACATCCAGGTATTGAGACAGGCTAATTAGCATTGTTAAGTGAGGAGTCAATTAGCTTGCCTATGCTCATCAGCACAGATGTGACTACACTGTAGGTGACATAGGAAACAATTTGCCTGGAGCAGCACTATGGGCATCTTTACATGTGCTCCATGTTGCAGGTAGAGGAGTGCTTTAATTAAAGTGGCTTTTGGGAACTGCTTTAATTAAAGAGCCCAAAGCTTCTCATGTATTCAGCATCCCACACTGCAAAATAATAAGGGCATTTTAACTAAAGCTTATATGACAATTTTTAGTTAAAGTGCCCTTATTTTGAATACATGAGATGCCAGACACTGAATACATGAGATGCCAAGGCTGTTGAAGCATGCTAATTAGCATGCTCCAGCAGAGTTGATTAATCAAAGCTGCTTTGAAGCGTGCTAATTAGCATGCACTGGAGCAATATTGGGTATGTCTATAGATGCCCTATGTGTTTAAGGGCACTGCTGCCAAGTGCAGTTTACCATGTAGACATGGCCTGTGTTGAAGTGCAGAGCTCTCCTGCCGACTCACCGTAGGCTATATTAAAACCACGTGTTACAGTGCAAGCTGTCACTGTTAAATTGTGCTGTCAGGTTGCTGCAGATAATTCAAACCAGAACACAGAGCAGGTTGGGAATATATTTTCCAAACGTAGCAAAATATGATTAAGGTGCTCCTTAAGAGAAACCTTAAGAACAGTCAAACCTAGGGTGAAATGTATGTTATTTTTTTTCATTTGAGTTATAGGGAAGGGGTTAAATTAGATGAGAACTCATAACTTATACATTCCTGTAAAGTACCATATTTTCTTGTATACCATACATCTGCAAACAAGACATATATCTTGTTTTGGGGAAGGCAGCATGAAGAAAAAAAGATTTTTTTTCCTCTACAGTTATGGATGCATAGAGGAGAGACAGAGCCTAATCTTTAGCTCGCTCACCCTCACTTACTTCCCTACTCAGGCAAAACACTAGAGTTTTAACTCTTTCACATCTGAATTGTAAGCAGCTCATGGCTGCTTAGCCAAAAGCTGAAATTGTAGCTGTTGCTGAAGATTGGACTCGTAGGCAGATCCAGGGTTTTGAAAAGAATTAATCATAGTCTTCAGGGTTGTGAAAAAAGAGAAAAGAAACTAAACAGCAACATTTCTGAACATTAGTGGAACATTCTGAAGATTAGTGGAACACCACGATCATTAAAAAGAAGGAAGAGTCATTAATACCTGTGGATATTCAAGAGCAATTAGTAGGAGTCAGGTACATTTTCATGAACCATGAAGTCATCTGACTCCTTGGACACTGCCTGAATAAAAATGCCACTGGAAAGTTTGCTTTAAGCTTTGGGTAGACCAGGAATCAAAGTGGCCCAACCACATCCCTGTGCCCTCCCTTTAGACCTGCCCCTGCTAGACTCTGTGCCTCCTTCCATGAAGCTGCTGGATGGAAGAGAAGCACTAGCTATCTTGCAGCATATCCATGCTTCTATTCTCAACATAAAATCAGTTTTCCCTCTTCAGGTTCATACCCCAATTTTGGAACACTGATATTTGAGGGAAAGGTGGATGTGGTATGCAAGTAAATATGGTATATAGAAGAAAATCACCCTGTTCACAAGAACTACAACATACCAAAGTATCTGAATTTGTGTATAAGTTCTGTCTTTCAAAAGGTTATATTAAAGGCCAGATCCAAAAAAGTGTGTAAGTGCTTTAATTACTTTAATTAAATTAATTGCTTTAATTACAATTAAAAGGTATCTTTAGACATATAACTGAATTAAAAATAATGAGAATTTAGGCTCCTAAAAAGGGAGTTAGCTGTCAAATACCCTTCTGGATCTGACTTTTGCATATCCCATGTATTTAGATATTAAATTTGTGTCTTGGTAATAAATTGTATTAGTACTACAGAAGCAGGTTACCAATTTATATATAATTAAAGGAAGCATTGACCTTTTATTTTTAATCTTTGCTTTGTATTTACACCTTTTGTTCCTGACTCCAAACTCATTGAAGTGTATGCAAATGTTCTCACTAACTTTAATGGGCTTTAGATCAGATTTTAAATCTTTAATTTTATCTGTCTAACCACTAACATATTAACACAGTTTCCAGTTCACTCATAGGGCTTGTATATGCAAGCCCCCTTAGGAAAATTAATTCAAATGGACTTTTACAATGAATCACTTAAACTGCATTCAGTTACTATGTGGATACTGACATTCAAAAGTGGACTTGATTTGATTTAGCTTAATTCATTTTCAAAGTAAATTAAGCTAAATTGAATCAATTAATTGTGAAACTAATTGTGAGCAAGAGTGTCCACACAAGGGTTAAAAGTGGTTTAACTAATTCACCTTAAAAATCCACCCATTTGTTAATTTGGGTTAGGTATCCTAAGCTTCTGCATGTCAATAACTCATCAAGATGGCTGCTTGATTTTTTTAAATAGATAAATGGAATAAAAATACAGAATTACTGCAAAACAGCTATGTAGCCAACATTCATGTTCAAATTTAGATAAAATACTAAATATGAAGAACTTGGGCACACAAATTTATGCCAGGATCAAAGGAGAGCAGGGCTTCACAGTACATCAGTCTTTTTGCAATTACAGCATGCATCCAGTGGAAAATGAAAATGAACCTGGATACTTTAGACTTCAGTGAAAGAGAATTAAGCTATTACAGATTGGCATTCATATACCGTGGAGTGAGAATGTGCACATGGCATTGCTGCATAGCAGCTTATGCACTGTAAAATCCCACCCTTCTTTGCCTCGTAACAACTTGTTCATATATCTTAAGACAGTCAAAGTTTCAACACTTGCCTAAACAGAGAGGTTACTGCAACGTCAGCTAGAGTGCAAATTTATACCATGGTTATTACTCAGGACTAACTACTCTTGAGACTATTTTAGGGCATGTGTACATGTGGACTAATCAGCACCACTAAGAGATAATGCCAGTTAGCCCATCTCTCAAGCTAACTAGTCCAGCTTGTGATATCCCACACATATGGCTATATGGTTTCTGGTTCAGGAGGTGGCCCACTATTTCTATTGTGTACAAATATCATTAGTGTGCAGTAACTATGAGGCAACTTGCTTTGATTTCAAAGTGGAGATAGTAGGCTTACTACAGAGTAGGTCGTGCACTGAAAATTTACACTCTGTATTATTTTTTGGTAACTTTCTCAACCCTTGGATATATAAGTTTTACCTGGATATATAAGGACTAATCTTAGGTATGAAACCAGAGAATGTCTAATATATCAACTCAATCCCTTACTTTGTAGGAAATGGTATGAACTCTTGAGGTCCAGGAAAGAAAAAAAATATTAGTGATTTAATGATGACTTCTGATAAAAAAGAAAACAAAGAATCCCCAATATATATTATTCTGGGGTGATCACTATTACTGAAAGTCACAACTGTCATCGGCAATGTTCTGTTTATTAATCTGCATTTCCTTTTTTTTTAAGAAGGGCATTATGTGTTGTTTTTCTCCTCAATATCTGTTAAAGATTAATTGAACTATAAGGATGTAATCAAACCACCAAATTCAGAGGCATGATCCCAACAACGAACAGTGTTTTATAAAATGAATTACTTGTGTGGTAAGCTACTGCCAGAATACTTAAACCCTTATAATAGCTGCAATGTAGACATAGTAAAAGTGCAGATTAAAGAACTTAATAAAGTAACATTTCCCCTTACATTTCAGGAGCAAGCAAACAAAAACCTTCCCCCTTCTCTATCAGTGTGACAGAATAAATAATCTTTGAAAAAATATTCCACATAAACATACATTTATGTGACTGCAGTATGAAATATGGTTATTAATCATTTTTGATAAACTGAGTAGAACTTACTTGCTGTTTTTGCAGCTTTGGAAACCTTCTCTGTAAGGAAAAAAATACATGTAATGGAGATTCAAAATACAAGGTAATAATACAACTTAATAGTAACAGCCAATCGGCACCTATTAATACAGACTTGCAATGAATTCATCCAAAGGAATTGCTGAGGTTTTCAAGTGGTGATGGCTATTTGCCCTTGAATATCTTCTGGTGATAATGTAATTAGAATAATCCTTTGTATGAAGGAAAATAACTAAGAAATCATATTGCTATTTATCACTTTAGGAAGAAAGGATAAATGTGTTTGAAAAATGCTTTCTTCAAAAAAAAAAAAAAAGCAAGTAGCCTACTATATTCATATATACGATTTTTGCTGTCACGGTTCAAGATAACTTAAGTTCTCCCTGAAACAATCCTTTTGAGTAGATAGCAAACATGAAGGTTTTCATGCCAAAGAAATTTAAGATCCCTAGTGATTTTAAAATATATGTATATGAGACTTTTGTTTGCCTTTGTTTAGGATATAGAATGAAATTAACATTCCATGGTTAAATATACATATTTACCTATAAATAATAATCCTCTTGGGAAACATATTGCTCCAATTTAATAATATGTATGTTCAACAACTTTATCAGTCTACAATAAATATATGTTACTTCTCCTACAATATTGTGCTGTTGACCCCTTAATTCTCCCTCAGTACTTTTGCTATTCATTGTTACATTTTTTTGAATATCTATGGACTAAAACGCTAGTATAATAAAAGTATCAGTGATCTCAAGCAGTGCTATTGACTGTAATATTCCCAGGTATCCACTGTGCAGCATCCACTGGACTACAATGCCCATTATGCAAACTGCCAGAATTGCCTATATTATATTCCTGTTAATTTAAATTAGGAGGGTCTGTCTCACCCCCTGCCCTGGAATAGATCTCAACTACAGGGCTCCTTGCCGGTCAGATTCAGCCCAGGGTGCAGGGCAGCTTCGATGATGGTAGCAGCTCTAGTTCCTGCTGTGTTCTACTGGAACCAGAACTGCACTGGCAGCACTCAGAGTACATGGCAGTGATAGCTCTGGCATGGGGCATGGAGCTCCAGCAGTGGCAGGGCCTTTGGCTAAGGAGGTAGTACCACGTTGATGGAGACAGGCAAAGTGGGTGGAGAGCAACTGGAGCTGACAACTATGTCCACCAGGGCTCAAGAGCTCTGGATTCTGTGCCAGGTCACTCCCCTGACCATGCTCCCCAACTTCTGGTGGTCCATCAGTAACCCAGTGGGCCAGATCCAGCCTGTGAGCCACTTAGACACTCCTAGTTTAAACTGAAGTGTCAGTTCATATAGAGCAGTATCCTCTAGCATTGGGATGGTACTAACTCCAAGTTGGATATGAAGGGCTCCTATTGGGGAAATTCTGACTGTAGATATGGGTCTGGATTTTCCTACTATAGTTCCAAATATACCTGAACCTTTTTGGAAGACCAGATATGCTGAACTAACTCTGATTTTCATGCGCATATTTAGTCATAGAAGGGTACGCCTACATGTAACATTGCTATAGCACCATGCTTTAGTACTTCCTTTTGGTAGTACTAAAACACAGTGCAGTGCAGGTGGTTACTGCATTGTGGACATGGTGCATGGTTAGATGTCACCACTATATCACTGTAGTGGCACGCTGTACCTGGTGCACTGCTATGCCAATGTAGCTGGCGATCATGTGTAGATACACATGATCGCTATGTCCCCGTAGCACATCATACGGTGATGTATCACATTACTGCATCACCATGGGTGTAGACATGCTTGTAGTATCTTAAATAACTGAAAGGCAGGTTACAGAGGAATACCAGTTAATCCCTACAGCAGACATCAATATTACTGTTTTAAATCACATTTAAATACTGAATGTGCTAAAATTCAAGCTGTATATAGATTTTTAATTCCTTAATTTTCTTTATGTGTATGTGTTGTTATACTAAGAAGAGGTTGGATTAAAATTCAATTCCAATATCACTTGAATCTGTCAAGTTTTTGAAAGTGAAAGGATGATTTGCTCTTTACATTTACTTAATAAGTTAATCATGCCTTAAGGGGTCTCCTGGCTACATGTTCACTCAATTCCTGGCATCATAAAAAGAGAAATAAGCTACAAAGTTATTTGACAAAATATGTGTATTAACTCTGTAGCTGCTTCCTATCATGCCATTAATTGAACATGTGACCAGGGGCCCCTGTTGCTGGGAGCTCCATCAGCAGATCAGAGCTCCCAGCTGGGGGCAGGGGGTATGCGCATCCCCAAGCCTGTGAGCTCCTAGATGATGCTCACTCCCAACCACAGGAGCACATACCCCTGTGGCTGGGAGCCCCATCAGCTGACAGGTTTTCTAGCTGCAGAGTTGCCGCATGCACCCCCATGGCTGGGGCACCACAACTGATGTGGTGTCCCAGCCATGGGGATACATGAAGCATAAAGCACCCCTGCAGCTGGGAGAACATGTCAGCTGTGGTGCGCCAGTTCTGAAAGTGCATGAAGCTGTGGTATCCATGCTGTGGGGACCCATGTGACACCCCCATGGCTGGAAGCCCTGTCAGCTGAGGTGGCTCCCAACTGCAGGAGCTTGCAGGGGGAGCCCAATCAGGGACAGCCCAGGATTGGGCTTCCCCTGCACTGGCAGTAAGGTGTGAAGGGATCTGATTCGTGATTCCCACAGTCACGCCTCATGCTATGCATGTCACACATATAGAGGAGCTCTTGTAATCAAACACAAAATAATTAGATGTTCAAGCTTTTTGCTAATTCTAAGATTTACCACCTGAAGAAAATCATAAGAGAATAATCCATCTTAAGGTAGCAAAGCAGATATGCATGGGCTTACTTTAAACTGATGAGGCATTAATGGAAGTCTGTGCGCCAGTATTTTATGTGCTTAATTTTTTATTTGCCTTTTCTTTTCCTTAATGCTTCTTTGTCCCCAACTGTATTGCAAAAATGCATTTTTCTTTGAACTGAAAATATGTGAACTTTATACATAATACATACAGCTATATAATGATAATGTATGACATTCTAATTTTATGATTCCATTGAAACAAAACCCCCCAGAAACATTGTATAAAAAAGGTAAATTTTGGCCAAATACTGCTTTCAGTTGTTGAACTCAGCAAGGTTACATCACTGTGAGTCATAGAAGCATCTAGCCCCACCTTTTCTACATTGAGCAGATATAACTGTGTAGTGAGATCATAGGGTGAGATCCTTAAATGAGTCATCACAGCTTCAGTAAAATCACATACACTGATTTATACCAGTTGAGCATCTGGTTGTTTTATTTTATTTCTGTCATAAACCAGGATAAAAATAGAGGAACAACTGATAACATGCCATAGGGAGATCACCTATTGAAACATCCTAGCTCAATTTGCTTTCTTGTTTATTTTTCAGGATGGTTCTTTCTCATTCACTTGTGTTATTGCACAGATTTCCCATGAGGACCATATGCATCTCTAAATGTATCTTGAACTACATGGCAAACCAGTTGTCTATAACAAATAGCTGAAAAGATGTTTAAAAAGTTAAGAGAGTGATGCAAGGTGACACAATCCAAACACATCGGTCACCAATAATTTATGAGTTGTCTTCTGCCAGGTTGCCCTTAAGGAAAGTCCCACAAACTTTAACACATCTTGCGAATATGAAATGCTTGGTAACTTGAACTCCCTTAAAACTATGAAGAAATATTGATTACCTGTTGTCAGGTTGTGATGTCGCTGAGTTTCTTTTACTGTTGGGGCTTCTAAAGGAAACAAAGCAGGGGTTAGGCTAATTTTAGTTTCAAAATAAAGTTTTTGTATTACACGAAAACACACAATGTTAGAATTTGAATTGAGCAACACTTAGCAATGTTTATATTGTGACATGTGACTTTTCAGTTAAAAACCTTAAAATGAAAATGTCAAACCAATGAAGACTGCGAAAGAAAAGGCTGCTGATTATCTTAACAAACATGCTTTATTAGTAGATTATTACTTCCAAATTCCTTTTTGTATTTTTTGTATGTGTGTGTATACAGTCACTTTATAAAAATTTGAATGATTATTAGGTGTGGCTTTACCTCTGCTTTTTGTGGGATCAGTTTTTGCAGGTCTGGCTGTAGCTGGGCTTTCCAGATCCGTACTTCTATGAAAAATGATCTCTTTTTAACCACTATTCAGAACTATAAATTAATCTCCCTCTGTGTGCTGCTTTTATGTTTTTCTTGGGCCATAGTTCCACTTATTATTTCACTGGACATAACATAAATCATCATAGTAAATGCTACTTACTGTAGGAAAATAATAAAACGGTGTTTGGTTCAACCTACAGAGACCAAACAGCTTAGCCAGCACATATGTGACCAGGAAATGTATTATATACATGATAACCATCTCTATTTGTGAACATAGTTTTCTCAAAATATACAGATCAGCAATAAAAAATATCCCTCCCACTGGGGAGATAGACTCTGCTAGTTCTTAATAGGTTGGTCCAGTAGGAAACATTATGATACCCTGGGTAGATACCACTAAATCTACTCTTTTGTGGATCCAATGACTGGGAATCTTGTGCTGATGAAGGGACAGATTCAAAGTTATTCAGGCACAAATATTTAAGTACCTAAATACCACTTGATTAGCTAAACAGGAGTTTGGAACCAGGCAAATTAGATGCCTGAACTGAACTTAGGGGCTAGGGACAGACATTCAAAAAGCCTGAGCTGATTCAATCTTTACAGGTTAGTCTAACCTAGCTAGACTGAACTGATCTGGAGGAGGGGTGGGGGGGAATGTGTGCCCCTGGATCTGTGAGGGGCGGGGCGGTTGCTGCTGTGGGCTGGGGCCAGGACCGTGCCAGGCTCTTCCTGGCAGGGACTGGGCTGGGCACGGGGCGGGCAGTGGTGGCAGCACTAGGAGGGGCTACAGGAGGGGCTGCAGCCAGCCCAAAATTCACCGTAGCTCCCCCCCAATCCCCTTCGCAGTGCCACCGCTGCCCGCCCCAAGTACGGTGCAGTCCAGCCCCTGCCAGGAAGAGCCTGGTGCAGCCCCAGCCCTAGCTTGCAGTGGCAGTTGCCCTGCCCCGCACAGATACTGGGGCACATGCCGCCCCCCACCCCCCCCCAGG